TCCCTTCCCTTATCCCTCCTTTCCTACCCCCAACCCCATGTGACAGATTTTCATCTGGCCACGGTCCATTTATATATGACCCATTTCTCATAACAGTCCTGTGCTTCAGCTTTGGATTTGAATATGAGAAGACCCCACCTTCCTCCCTTCCCTTATCCCTCCTTTCCTACCCCCACCCCCATGTGACAGATTTTCATCTGGCCACGGTCCCTTTATATATGACCCATTTCTCATAACAGTCCTGTGCTTCAGCTTTGGATTTGAATATGAGAATCCCTTCAAAAACTGCATGGTTCTGAGCCTGTCCAGTATATGCATAATAATTAAGGCTGTAATTAAAGTGAAATGCAAGTATAATTAAAATTCACTTTAGTGGATCCTGGAATTATGAAGCAATTAGGCATTTTGACATGGCACTGAAGGAGCAGCGGAAGGAGAGAAGGGCCGTGTTTTTCTGGGGAGCTGCCCCCTCCCCTTCTTCTCCTGCCCTGCCACCTGGTGTGAACCCAGGAGCAAGGCCTGGGCTGCAGAGAGCTGCTGGCCAGAGGCGTGGCAGCCGCTTGGAGTCCTCACCCAAGGGTGGCAGGCACAGGGCCCTTCTTAGAGAAGGCGAACACTGCCAAGCCCCCGGAGAACCTGGAGAGGGCACAGAGACAATCACTCCTTATTTTGCCCCAGGCAGGTTGGGGTTTATGTTCGAACCCAATGAAAAAGGGTTATTTGGGGGTGTTGGACCAGCAAGGTGATCAGAAAAGGACCCCTTTCTGCCTCTCCTCCTTAAACACAGTTTGTGTATGTAGATCCATCCAGAGTTACTTGGTCTGTCAGCAGGTAGCTACCATGTGACAGATGCTGGGAGATACCCCAGCGAGCGAGCCTGACAAAGCGAAAGGTGAATTTAGCAGGGACATTGGAAACATCACTAAGCCATCCTGATGGGACGTGGTCTGTGTTATGGTTTTGAAATTACGAGGTACTCTGGAAGCTCATTTTACAGGTCCCTGCTTTAGGTGGGACATTGGGAGGTAATGACGAGGAAGGCATCCCTAGAGAAATGCTGTTTAAGCAGATGCCTCATGAACGTGTGGGCACAGAGCCTGGGTGGAGAGCCCGGCAAGGGCCAGGGCCCAGCACATCTGGATGTTCATGCACTTCCACATCAGTCATTTTTATTTTTCGTTGGGAATACCTGGTGGTAGGTTGGGTGCTGAAGAGGATATTAATTAAAAAACTAAATTATTTAGACTACTCGGTTGTAAGGAACAGCAACCCATTTAAGATATCTCAGAAAAATAAAAAGCCAAGAGCTTATTCCTTTCCATCCATACCCAGATGGAAGGGAGCTCAGGTAAAACACAAGTTCTCAGAATGGGTGGGAGCTATGGTAAAGCTGGCTTGGGAAGAATGGGCTCCAAGATGGGGCTCCAAGATGGGGCTCGGCCTCAGGAGCACCATTCCCACACCTGCCTGATGGTCTTGGGAGCTGTGTGCTGAGATTGGAGGGTTCTCCAAAGAGAAAGGGCAGAAGGCAAAGAACCTTTCATATCTTAACATAGATTTCTTCCCTGGCAGATTGGGAGGTCGTAGGGGAGAGAAATCTCATCCATGTCTCTGTTGAGGGAGATAGAAATGTACACATTTAACTTTCATTCACTTTCTGGTCCAAAGACCAGTTCACTTCTGTGTCAGTCAGGGCTTTTGCTTCACACTCTGTCATTACTCCATGAAAGCCTTGCCTACAAGTTAATGTCTATAAATTCCTTAGCCTGGTATCTAGCACCTGCCACAGTCTGATCCCCTGTCCTCTGGGACCTTGGCTAAAATCCTACCAAATGAATCAGAATGTGCACTGAGATTTTTTTAATGAAACAATAAATCTTTGCATCTGTGTTACTTATCTACTAGTGTGTAACAAATTACCCCAAAATCTAGCAGCTTAACAAAAGGAGCATGTATTATCTCACAGTTTCTGCGGTCAGGAATCTAGGTGTGCTTAGCTGGGTTCTCTGGCTCAAAGTCTCTCACAAGGGTTGCAGTCAGGGTATCAGCCAGGGCTCCAGACATCTCAAGGCTTGACTGGGGAAGCATTTGCCTCCAAGCTCCCGTGGTTTTTGGCAGGTTGCTGTTCCTCATGGGCTATTGGCCAGAGGCTGCTCTCTGTTCCAAGGAGTCTTCTCATGGGGCAGCTCACAACATGGCAGTTGGCTTCATCAAAGTGAACAGAGTGTCAAAGGGAGAAAGACAGAAGCCACAGGCATTTGTAACCTGGTCTCAGAAGTGGCATTCCATCACTTTTGCCATATTCTTATTCACTAGAAGCAAGGGACTGGGTCCAGCCACACTTGAGGGGAGAGGATTATACAAGGGTATGAACATCAGGACTCAGGATTAATTGACTGAGAGCCATTTTAGAAGCTGCCTACCCCAACATTTACAATCTAGTCATGTGTCACTTAACAACGGGGACATATTCTGAGAAATGTGTCATTAGGCAATTTCGTCATTGTGCAAACATCATAGAGTCTACTTACACAAACCTAGGTGGTATAGCCTACTACACACCTAGGCATACGGTATTGCCACCTTCACATATGCAGTCCGTCCTTGACCAAAACATCATTATGTAGCACATGACTGTAATGTGTTAGTCAAAGTACTGCCAGCTCCTGTAACAGAAATGCTGAAATGTTAGAGGCTTAACATAACAGAAGATTCTTTCCCATTCACATAAAGTCAGAGAGTGTGGGTCGGTGGGGTGCTGTGCTCCACAGTTATTCTAGTATACAGGCTAAAGGAGCTATTACCATCTTCAAGAAGGTGCCCCCGGGGTTGCCCTGGCTGAGAACATTCCAGAAAGCAGACAGGGAAAACAGAGTATGGAGGGTTACATTGGAGATTTTTATGGGCATGCATTTCATATCCACTCACATTCCATTGGCCAGAGCACAGTCACATGACCCCACCTACATGCAACGGGGCCTGGGAAATGTAGTTCCTGGCTGGGCAGCTACTTCCCAGCAACAGCACTGCACTGCAGAAGAGGAGCAGGAATCTCTGGTGGACAGTCAGGCTTGCCACAGATCCTGTGCCATTTACAAAATGCTTTCATGTGTATTATTTCATTTGCTTCTTATTGTCACCTATGCTATTAGCTACACTGTCCTCATTTTACAAATAGGGAAGCAGACTAGCATATCTTTAGAACATTCAGAGTTGTGTAATTACAGAGAACAGACTTCAAGTCCCATCTCTGCCACTCACCTCTGTGACCAAGGAAAAGTTATTTAGCCTCTCTGTGCCTTACTTGCCATATCTATAAAATAGGAAGGTAGTGCTATGTGTAGAGATAAAGAAATTAAGCCTCAAAGTAGTTAAATGGTTTCCCCAAATCTACATAACAAGTACATGGCAGAGACAGGATGAGAGGGTTAAGGGGTTTAGGTAGCAACTTCCCTACCTTTCGGGTTATCACTTTCCAGGGAGGCCTTTCATCAGATTCTGTGTAAGGCAGCAGTGAGTACACCTGAGCCAAAGACACAGTGCCAGGTGTCCCCTTCACCACGGCTTTGGTGGATCCAGGGTCCCAAGAGAATCAATGCTGCATCACCTTCTCAATCCAACTGTTCCTGTTTAACCCAGCCTTTGCCTTTTTGTGTTAAACCTGCTAACCGAGCACCTCTTTGTATTTGCACTTGTGGTAAGGCAGGTTCTCCAAGGCCTATATTTCAAAGTCTTTGTTTATGAATAGTCTCTATCTTGCTAACTAGCTAAAAGCACAGGGAATAATATAAGGTGAGATGTTTCATTAGATGCTTAAATTTTATCTCATTTCTCCTAGCCGGTTGTTCATTCTGGAAAATGGGAAAACAGTTCCCACGTTAAGTAGGCAATCCCTGCAACACACCTTTGAATGAGGCGGCTTGGTCTGTAAATGCCACAAATCCACCAGGAATGGCCAAAAGATGTCATCAGAGGCTGCGTTGTCCTTCTTCAGGGCCTCCTCTTTTCGTTATATAGAGTGAGGAGGAAGCAGAAATGACATACTGAACACTGCCAGAGCCTCCAGAGCAGTGGATTCACGGGCACAGGCGGACAGATTCTCAGAATTTCAGATCTCAGGTCAGGTCATGACTCAGGCCCCTGCCTTCCAAGAGGTCTTTAAAACAGGTAGCTTCTGGTATGGGCCAAAACTACCTTAAATCCACTTGACTGGGGATTATCAGCATCTATCAGTAAAAAATGTCCATTTCTCTCTTTCAAGTCCTTGATTTCATCTTCTTTTCCAGCTGGACTGCAACTTAAGATAGATCTTATCACATAATCTTGTCTGTTAATGACATTGTTTAGAACCTGTATTTAATTCATTTCTCGATGAAAAACTATCGGTAGATTAGTCCCGTGCATCCTCACGTGCTACTGCAGTGTCCATACCATCCAGCACCCTGATTTGCCATTGCCCTGCTCATTTTTTGCAGAAGGCTTTTTCTTTTGATTCCACACTCAGACTCTTCAACCAAGGAACAAAATCCAGTTCAGAAGATTTTCTTCATTCGAACTAGTTGAGCCCCAGTGGTTGTTAATATCTCTTTGATCGCAATCCTAAAGGAGGCTCATTTTCATTTTTTTAAGTGCCAGAGAAAATATAAGCAGTGTCTTTATAATGCCAGATAACTGAAGTGAAAAAAAGAAAAGTAAATAAATTTGTCATCTGGGTATATCTATATAAGGCAGATCTGGATCATCAAAAGCTAAAACTGTGTTGTAATTAAATTGTGTTAGTGTCAGGTGAGACCTGGGCATCCATGGTTTCAGGTTGCGTGAAACTTCACAGGGCTCCACCTCCAGTTTCATTCAATGACTGTCCATCATTCCTTCTTCTAGGAACCAATGCCCAGGAGGCTCAGAATATACTCAATAACAGCGGACTCCCCATTATGTGAAACTTCACAGGGCTCCACCTCCAGTTTCATTCAATGACTGTCCATCATTCCCTCTTCTAGGAACCAATGCCCAGGAGGCTCAGAATATACTCAATAACAGCGGACTCCCCATTACTTCAGCCATCGACCTGGAGGATGCAGCCAGGAAGGCTGTGGCCAGCGTGGCAAAGAAGTGATGTCTTGGTCAGGATCCCTGGGGAAGGAAGGCCATTTTTCCATAATAAGGGATGGTTTTCTCATCACTGTGAAGAAATGGTTATCACCTTTGGAAAAAAGGAGGGGAGAGCATGAACAAAAATCAATGTGCGAAAATCCTAAATCTGTATTTTCTTGAATAAGATATCTAGACAGCCTAAATCTGATTTTATTTATAGTCTTTGTAAAAATAATGTCCTGTTTTCTCATACTTTTCTATCATAAGCCTGCTCAGCAGGCATTGTTTTGCCAACTTTTGGGAGCAGTCTGTGTGGCTAAGTGATGTGCGTATATACAGAATATGAAATCAGGCCCTGGTTTATTTACAGGTTGGTGGACATCTAATCCTATATAGTAAAAAAAATTTTGGGCCTTTTGAAACTCAAACAAGATTACATTTAACATATTAACTATCAAAAAGGCGCACTTAAGACCTTCAAGCAAATAGCTACTACACACTGCAGCGGTTTTTATATGTTTCTAATTTCAACATGTTTGGAAAATTCACAAATATTCTACTGTGTATTTAACAGTGGAAGGTCTGCATTAATATACCATATGTGTATTTTACTGTTTGCCTTAATATCGAATATACTGTTTACCTCACACTAAAAATAAAACCAGAAGCCTTATTTGTAATTTTGAAATAGAAACTTCCATTTTGATAAAAACTGAAGAATGCTGATTCTTATGGAAATCTCAGTAATTACATCACTTTGAGATGACACAACACTAGAGATCAAATTGTGTGGAGCATCAGTATCTTCTCTCCCCGCCTTTATTTTCCCCCTCCCCCAGAATCTACCAGCTTGTTGTAGATGTTAGGAAAACATAATGAGGAGAATGTGGCTTTTTTCCATAATATCCATTTTTGTGGTGGGAGAGAATTTGAATTAGATTTTTGTTGAAATTTTGGTAAATTTTTATCTGTATACAAATTTAAATAAAATTCTATGTTTTATAAGTTCTAAAATCTGTGTATATTTCTCATTTTAGTCAATTTAATGCTCAAACAATTTTTCTTTTACTATGACACTAGCCTACATGTCTTAGGCATATCTCTAAAGTTATAAATTTTGGGTTGTCTCAGAATTATTCTAGTTTCACTTGACTTTATCAGGTAACCATTCCTATGTTAGGAGGTTAGTTGATGAAAGAATAAAATGTATATACAAACCAGAAGCCCAGGTACGTGTCTCAAGTGTCTGACAGGTTCAAGTGTGATGTCAGTCTGCCTAATGCTAAAGGAAATATACCAGTGTAAACTCCTCCCATTTAATGAGGTTCAGTGGCCACCATGAATGATTTTCCTTTCAATCTACAAAGGTGTGAGAATTTGAATTAGATTTTTGTTGAAATTTTGGTAAATTTTTATCTGTATACAAATTTAAATAAAATCCTATGTTTTATAAGTTCTAAAATCTGTGTATATTTCTCATTTTAGTCAATTTAATGCTCAAAACAATTTTTCTTTTACTATGACACTAGCCTACATGTCTTAGGCATATCTCTAAAGTTATAAATTTTAGGTTGTCTCAGAATTATTCTAGTTTCACTTGACTTTATCAGGTAACCATTCCTATGTTAGGAGGTTAGTTGATGAAAGAATAAAATGTATATACAAACCAGAAGCCCAGGTACGTGTCTCAAGTGTCTGACAGGTTCAAGTGTGATGTCAGTCTGCCTAATGCTAAAGGAAATATACCAGTGTAAACTCCTCCCATTTAATGAGGTTCAGTGGCCACCATGAATGATTTTCCTTTCAATCTACAAAGGTGTAGGAGACCAAACTATTTTGTTTGTTTTTTACCAGCTTACATTTTTCTTATAAATTTCACATATGGACAAAAGTAGTAAAGTCATTATTGTATAGATCGCTGTTTGCCATGGAGAAATAAACCATGTGATAGATCAATCTTATCTCCTTTCTTAGTGGCTATGCAATGAATGAAAAATATTAACAATGACTTTTTAAGTGTGTTTTGATAATTTAATAACTAGTTAGTATGATAAATAACATTTTATCAATTAGTATATTTGAAGTTTTTGCTCTTTGCAAAGGCCTGTATCGAATTACTTGTAAGTATTGATGTTTCTAAGCAACCTGTTGTGGAGGAGGGGAATAAAAGGATTAAAGAGTTCATGTAATTATTTTGTAAAAGGGTTAATAACAAGCAAATAGCCTTTTATTTTTAAGTAAGCTCAAAGCCGGAAGAACCTGGTCTTTTTGCATCTTGGCCCATCTTGTCTCTGCTGGTTTTATTCTCAAGCAGATCACTTCCACAAGGCGGCAAGATAGGTTCTAGCCGTTTTAGGTACACATTCTCAAATTTAGTATCCCCAGAAGAGAAGGAGAGAGAAAGAGAAGAGGAAAGAGAATAAACGAACGAAAGAGAGAGAAGATGGGAGGAAGGAGAGGAGAAAGGAAGCTGCTTTCTCTTGGTAATTCTAAGACACATCCCAGAATTGAATTGAGAAGAACTGAGTCTTGATGACTCTGATGGCCAATTTTGGGTTAGTAACCTACCCCTGAAACAGTCCTGGATAGGAGTTTGCAGGGCTCCAATGAGTCCAGCTGGAGTTAAAACATACCCCCTCATTGGTCTGAGGGTGAGGCCAGCCTCACCACTGAGAGTAAGAGGAATGAGTAGCTTAAAAAAAAATTTGAGCCCTAAAGAAACTATATTCTGGGAAGGAAAAATAAGAGTTGTCAACCATGCTCATCAACTGTAAAGAGATAGGGTCGAACAAAATTATTTCTAAGGATGCTTCTGACTTTAAAATTTCATGATTCTATTCTATTAACTTATTCGTTCTTTGGGGTCTATTTTCCCTCATACATACAAGATACCAGTTTTTTTGTTCAGATGCTACTTGAGTCATCTAAATATTTGACCTTAATTTGTCTTGAACAGTAATGTCTACATAAGAATAATGTCACTGAGGCACTTAGTTGAGTTTTGGTTTTCTGTTTAAGTTGTAGTTCAATTCATGAATTAGTAAAATAGCCAAGAAACTTTTTAAATTACCTGACTAGATCTGTGAGTTACTTTTAATTAGTTCTTTTACAATTTATATCTACGTTTGTCCTTCTCAATTTGCTGTTTGAGCAAATGGTGTGTTTTACATATCCTTCTAGAGCTAGACTAAGGCCAAGGGCCTATTTTAGTAAATTAAGTTTTACTGGAACACAGCCACACCAATTTATGTACATATTTTCTGTGACTACTTTCATGCTAAAACAGAGTTGAATAGTTGTGATAGAAATCTTATGGCCTAAAATATTTACACCTTGCCCCTTTACAGAAAAGGTTTGCTGTATATAAATAAAATACAACATTGCCACCAAAGTGACAGCAACAGATTATTGTTTTCAAACCTGGGGAAGGCAGATTTAGGCATTAAAAGAAACAGAAATGAAAAAGTAGGAAATATGATCTTTGATCTTTTCATTTGAAATCCTATGAGAATTTAATTACTCTATAAAAGGATACTTGCCAATGAAAACCTATCCAGTTATGTTAATTTGTGTCTTCCTATTACCACAAGAACAGTCTGAAGATACTTTGTTGTGCTCTTGAACATATGCTGTTCTTAACTACTTACAGGTGTGTTGGAATAATATCAAATCATGGCTATGAGTATTAAACAAAGGGCTGTATCTATCAAGTCATCCTCAAAGTGATCCTTATATGCTGTTCTTAACTACTTACAGGTGTGTTGGAATAATATCAGATCATGGCTATGAGTATTAAACAAAGGGCTGTATCTATCAAGTCATCCTCAAAGTGATCCTTGCCAGTGACTGTGTTGTGCATTGTTTAGTCTTGGGGTCTTGGGAGGATAATCAGGAAGCAAGGAAAAAAGTGACTTCAGTGTACCTGATCTCTACAATGATTACTGCAAAGGCATTATTCCATTTTGCCAATGAGGAAATTATGACATAGTAAGATAAAGTTGCTCCCTTGAACTTACATAGTGGCAAAAATTTAGTCTTCTGGACTTCTGGTTCTTGCATAGTTCTATTACTAATTTTTTTGTCCAACAGAACTTTCTGTGATGATGGCAATGGTTATTTCAGTAATGGTAAATATGTAGTCATTAACCATATGTGGCTATTGAGCACTGGGAACTGTATTTTAAAGTCTATTTAATTTCAATTAATTAATAGCCACATGTTTTTGGTGGCTACCATATTGAACAGTGCAGCTCTGTAGTCTAAACTTAATGGGAATTTGGACACATTACTTTCACATCAGAGGAGTTCACATTGATTAAGTGTTTACTGTGTACCAGGAACTTTACCTATGTTACCTTAATCAGTCCTCTTAGCGACTCTGTGAATCTAAAATTCCTATTTTACAGATAGTAACATTGTAACTCAGGGAAGTTAAGTAACGTGACCAAAGCACACTAGTAGTATGTGGCTGGTCAAGATTGAGACTCTGGTCCTCTGAGTCCAAAGCCACTACTCCTTGTTTTATACCAGCGAGGACCCACATTTACTGTGGTTGTGCCACTTATGGTCAAAATAATTTGAAAGAATGTGTAGACAAGTATATTTAACAAGCTGGGCTCTTGAAAATATTGCCTGTTTAGTGTATCCCATACTTTGGGAAGCAAGATTTAAAAGCAGAAAAATCACCATATGCAAACTGGGCAGGTTGTGTGGACTGCAATGTGTATGGCACCTCCTGGACTTACACAGTGCATCGGACAAGGGCTGTTTTCTAAGGACCTAATTCCAAGTGACTTCTCATGAAGTTTAGGTCCAGCAGTCTTATGTCATATTTTCACATTCTAAGTAGGCCAGGAGCAATTCCAAGGAACCTTATGCCAAACTTGACAAATGCAAAATTAATGCAGTTTTATATGCCAGCTATGGGAAAATAGTCTTTTTTTTTTTTTTTTTTCTTGTTCCTCCCTTGTGTTTGCCAAGGCAGCAGCATGGAGGCATGTTTATTTAACTGGGGGCTCTTCTAACTCCTTTCCTAGTTAGGGCAGAAAGAAATGAAAGTCATGATGTAGCAGTCATGTAGACATCTGTTCTCAGAGATCAGACAATGACTGGAAGAGACTAGAAGGTTTGAAGGTTCTTATTTGGAGTTTTTATTTCAGTTATCTTTTAATAATGAATATTCATGTGCTTTAAATCCTCACCATTATTTGCCTTGAGCAAAAAAAAAAAAAAAAAAGTTTTGAAAGACCTGTATTAAAAGTACAAGCAATGACACAATCTGGAAAAAACAAAAAAACCCAAAAGTGATAAACAAAAACTAGAAAAACTGGACTTTATTAAAATCAAACACTTTTCTGCAGTAAATTTTTTCCAAAAATATGGAACAGCCTAAATGTTCATCAACTTATGAATGGATAAACAAAATGTACTATATTCATATAATGAAATATTATCCATCCATAAAAAGGAAAAAAGTGGTGATAGATGCGACAATGTGAATGAACTTTGAAGTGTTATTGCTCGATGAAAGAATCCAGTCACAAAAGGCCACATATTGCATGATTCCATTATATGAAATATCCAGAATAAGCAAATCTGTAGAGACATAATGTAAACTATGACAGGAGGGGAGTGGAGAATGGGAAGTGACTGCCAAGGGACATGGGGTTTCTTTTTGGTGTAATTAAAATGTTTGGA